GTAAGTAATCACTATCATAATCACCATCAATATCAATCATATTTCACCACCTTTGCTGCAAACTTTCAATCCTTTGAGTACAGAATGACTGGAGTTTGTCTTTGAAGAAAGTCTCATATATCAAGTATTGTCATTAAACTGTATATTGACAATATAGATCTGCAGGGTGGCATTATGATAATACAAAACAAAGATTATTGCCTTCTCCTGCACTATAACCCCTTTGACATTTACAACAGCTAGTTGATCTTTGTTCACCCATAAATGCTTTAACAAATGCTTTGCAGATTGTAAGCCTTCAGTGCATTGTTGTCACTTTTGAAGTGATAGAGTAATAGCTCACAAACGTTTTCTTTTGAAAGTTTCATATTGTCATACATTACTGATGCATCTATTTCCAATGAAATATGTGATTAAACATTCTTTGGTTACTCTACTTATATATCCACATTGAACATTCTAGAACATTTTTTCCAGTTGTTTGTAGAAAAAATTGAAATGTCTAAATTTTACCTTAACAACCTGATGTTAAACATAAGTGGGATAAATGGGAGATACTCATTAAAATTTCTCAATTCTTAACAATATATGTATATTATATATATATAAGTTCTATCATAATATATACGGTAGAATTTATGAAACTTGTAACAAAGTTTCCTGTTGATACACACAATAAACCAGGGATGGCAAATCTGTGGCATGTAAGGAGAAATCATCTGGCACATAACATTTTGATTTATCATTTGTTTTTTTCAATCATCCTTTCAGTTTATCATTTGATCATTTGATCAACCTTTTTTTTCAATCAGCTTTTTTACATTTATTCTAATTAAAGCATATTTGTTTAATAAATTAAAATATCATTATTTGAAGTCTAAAACTTTGGACACACAAACATTTTTAAAGTTAAGTATGCTTACTGTATGGTGGCATGTGGGCTCAAAAAGGTTTGCCAGCCAATCTTCTACATTAAAAAACTTTGTCTGCTTCTTCCTGTAGATGTGATCTTGACTAGTCATTTTTTATTGTTAAACTTTGCCATCCTTCCTTCCAATAATTCCTAGAACCAAGACCAAGAGTTCCGTCTTCTTTGTTCCTGTTTTCTTACCACACATTGCTGTTCATATTGAAGAATAGTTTTGGACCATTGGGACAAGTGACTCACCCATTTAAAAATTTTTTAACAGAGCCGTAGCACAAGCAGAATTTATTACCATACGTACTATACAACCTACAGTAATATACTATATAATTACAGGAAAAAATAGTTCAGTTACCAAACAATACAAATGCCATAAAACAAGTAACGTTTGTCAGCTGTATTTCCATGCTCTTCTGCATAAGCAATAACTATTCTTTTTAAAGTTGCATTATAATGCTATCTTGAAAGCATTTTAAATTAAAAAGGAGTTAAAATAATTAATATTTCAAATTATTTTCTTATTGTTAATGAACTATAACCAAAGAACTTCTTTTAAACATTAGTTACTCAAACTGTTTTTAATCTGTTCAATTAAACTCATTTTAAACTGTTGACTTAAAAACTGAATTTTAGTTTTTTTTTATATCAACAGATAATATAGAAGTTAGTGGTTTGATACAAATACTGCATAAAAATAATGATTAAATCACCTAAAAATTAATATTTGATAATTTTGTTATCAAATTTATAAAATTTTAATTCATCTAGAAATATATTAATATAAAATCTTGCACACACTAATCAGTTTTATATTTTGCAAGTTCTTAAGAATTCAACTCTATCTCAATACTTTTAATCTTATTTAATATATAATGGATTTTTAGTTTATTTCAAAACGGAAAAGAATAATTTATAATATTAAAGATTTTAAAATAATAACTTTATTTAAAATATTTCATAAATAAATTATTTTAATATGCATTAAATTTTACAAACAAAAAGTTTAAATTTTTCTTTTTATAATTTAAACAGTTAAGGACTAATTTTCTCAGTTTTTTCTCTATTTGATTTATATTTTTTTCAAGTTAAATATTAAATAATTTCTTCAATATTGTTAGAATGAATTAAATGATTTAGAAATTGATATAGACAGTAGTTGAATTATTTAATTAAAATAAATTATTTTTTGATTAAATTCATTTAAAGTTATAAAATTTTAATTCTAAGAACATTCAAGTTTGACTATTAAAAATTAAGATCACTGGTAAAATATCCCAAGTCAGTAACTCACAATTTCCTGATTATGCTGATTGTAAGCTTTGCATGCCTAAATGCATCTCCTGCAAAACCATATCCCAATTCAAGCTTTATGTAGCTGTAAATAATATTAGAACTTTGGGGACAATTGAACATCATCTCTATTCTCAGACTTGGGATGATGTTCAAATGAACCACCATGACTTGGGACAGTGTTCAACTTTAAGACAGTACAAGTTGGTAGAGAAGTAAAACATAGTGGAGTGTGAACCTGAGGTGACCATTAATGGTTCCTCTAGATCAGTGTTTCTCAACGGGGGCGCTATCTCCCCCATGTGGGTGTTTTTCCATGTTGAGGGGGCGATTAGTAATAATTTATATTTTGGGGGCAAAAAACAATTTTCTGGGCGATATAGTAAAACATTGTATTAAGAATAATTAGATATTTTATTTGTTATATCGTACAATAATTAAACAAATAACATTATATTAGTCACTAGTCTATTCAATGCAGTACGAATTTGGCATTAGTCTTGGCCCTCGACATCGGTATTTTGTAGTGAAGGGGGCGATACTACGTAACGGTTTTACTGAAGGGGGCGACGATTCGTTAGAGGTTGAGAAACACTGCTCTAGATAGTCAAAGTCAGTCAGATCAGTCAATCCGATTGCATCCATGAACAGGATTGTCATGGAGTCGAGTTATATATTCTAGGATTGAAGGAAGGATCTGAATGTTGTTATCACTAGTTTATTTACCGATAATTACAACTTTATGTACAGAAAGTTATAACAACGCCGATCATGTAGACAAAGGTCGGAGCACTCAAGACAGGCATCCGAAACGAAACATGTTGAGCCGAAAAGTGGTCAACCTCGACCTCTGACATCACACCGGTTGGGGACGGTAGTCAGACACAGTGTTGCTGACTGCTGCAATACTCCTTTCCTAGTGTAAACGATCGTGACGCTAGAGAGAAACGTGCTGGGAAACGGACGCGTTCCGGAGCGCATTGTGGTTTTGGTTTCGGCTTCTTGCTTCAAGTGCATGGTGCTCGATGGTTTAGGGTCTTGTACTTCTGTTGAACGGGGAACTTGTCTAGTGTCTGTCTCTTGTTTGTCATCTGTTGGTGGTTTCTCATTTGGTGAAAGGTGTTCCGCCAGACAAGTAAGTCGGCTTAAGTCTGTCTATAGAGATAACTGTCTCTTTTTGCCATACGTGGACTTTGAAAAATTTGTCTGCACGCTGCAGTACGGGAAATGGTCTGTCGTACGGAGGCTGCAGAGGTGGCCGTACGGAGTCGTGCTGCACAAAAATGTGGGTGCAGCACTGTAGGTCCTGGGGGATGAATATTTTCTTTGTCCCGTGACATCTCGTTGGTGTTGGTGTCAGTTGATGCATTTGCTCTTTGAGCTGCTGGACGAAAACTGCTGCGTTTGAGTCTGTCGGTGTAGGGGCGAGGAACTCACCTGGTAATCGTAAGGTCGTCCCGTAGACAGTGTTGCCGACCACCACAAACCTGACAAGCCAGGTGCTTCTGAAGGAAATGCTGAACTTCAAGGGAAAAAAGAAGAAACCATTGTGAATGGAAGGAATGCAAAATCTTTATTTTTTCTGCCAGCCATAACTATGAAGTTAGTGAAGTATACAATATGGATGGAAGAGTAATGCAAACATTTACTTTGCTAAAAAGATTGTGTCTTTTTAGCAACACATCTACACAAAAATGTTACAAGGAACTTATAAGGGAAATTTTACTTATAAAGCAAAGGAAACTCAATGATTTGATAAAACTTCAACAATATCAATAAATTAAACCAAACAGTTTCATTTATTGAAAGTTTGGTGGGGTCTGACTTTGTTGATAACAGTGACTCTGATTATGGAGATTAACATGTTAAACTCATCCATTGTCATTTTATATCAGCCTCATTGTTTGGATGGTATTTTGAAAAAAAACGTGTTAGATTGTCTTATTTAAATAGTGGTTAGAATGACAGCTCAAGTCACCTTCCCAGAAAAAACAAAATATCTCATCAATAGGATCACACAAGAAGATGCAAATTTGCTCAATACACATTACAAGTGGGTTTACAAATCACTGTAATTACTCTAAATCAACTTGTTATTCAAAGAACACTTTAAAATTCCATTTCCTGTAAAACGTGGGTATTCAAACTTGGGACACTGTTCTTTAGGAGAACTTAATTGTGTTTAAAAAAATTCTAACTATATCTGCATTAAAATATAATTGAATTTAATTAATACAGGTTGAACTTTTAAGCTTATAAAATAGATTTTTCTAAGCCTAAAAACCATTCCTATTTATTATTGAAATATATAATTTGATATATATACATATATACACACATACAATATATATAATGTTGTTATACATGTATTATACATGATCCTATTTTGTTAGATAGAATTAATATATAAAATAAGAATATTGTTTTAGTAATATTAACTTTATTTATTTCTGGAAAGCTCAGAAATAAATAAAGTTAGAGACGATAAGTTAATATAAGAAATTTCAATTAATATTTGTGCTGTATCTATAAAAATATACTTCATATTATTTATAAAATAATTAAAAACAATATAATTTTTTAAATATTTTTAAAACATATATCCTTGTTTTAATTTATATTCATTTAAATGTTATGTTTATTTTCAATGTATTATTCTATACAATTGATCTTTAATTCTTACAGTGTTTAGGATTCTTACATCAAGTTTAACATTACTTGTTGTAAGCCTTAAACACTGAATTAGATGATATATATGTCATTAGCATATTGCCATGGTCTTTAGATTCCCAGTGCTGAGCAGGGTGTGTGTGGCACCCTTTTCCAGGCATTTCCCGGTATGGTGCCCTACACTAAGCGTCCAGCACTAGATAAAAGTGGAATACCAGTTTATCAACCATCCACTGCGGCATACCAACAGGCACTAGCCATGCAAGTTCAGCAGCCTTTTGTACCAGTTTCATGTAAGTACAAAAAAATTTAGGTGATAATATGTGAATTTCAAATTAAATATATTTTTAATGTGTTAAAATAATTTATTTAGATTGTAATAAAATTTAACTGTATTAACCATTAATAATATATATAATCAAACTTCTATATAATGCCCCTAAATAGTGCTATCCTCATAAAGTGCCAATGAATATTTGTCAATACATCTTCTCTATAAATATTAAATAGGGAACAGTACCTGTGAATTACTAAATGTAAAATTTTGCATTACAAATAGCATTATCATTAAATCATGTGAGTTTCAAACTCAAACTTGTATATAGCCCTCATTACTACTTGTAATTTTTATTATTTGAGTTTCTTTTGTTTAGCACTACATTTGATTTAGTGCCAATTTCAGAGGCAAACAAATGATGGCATTAAATCAATGTTTGACAGATAACCAATGCATTATTTACACAAAATTACAGTGAAGAAATAATTTAACGTTTTATTTAGTTTAATACTATCTACGAATTTGAAGTGTATCATTTGTGGACATCATATCTAAAGACTGCAACTTTTTATTTACATTTTAAACTAGAAGTGACATGTTTGGCATTATTGTTCTCTTTAGACTAATACATATATGAACATACTTTAAGTACATTCATTGCCTATAAATTTAAGGGGATACAAACAAATATTCTATTTCAAATAGGATACAATTATCTTGAACTTGAACTAACAAGTTTGAAAATAAAGAAATTAGTTCAAAATAATTTTAAAGTCATTAATACTGTAATTTCATACAGATAATCCACAAGTTACCTGTGTTATATGTGCTTGAAAGAGAGTGCCAGTTATGTGATGTGGAGGTTTATATTCCAATTTTAAATAGATCATAGAACACCCTCCATGTGATTTATCATTGGTGAATGTACTGTACTGGATAATACATTAAGTAACTATTTAAAAAAAGAGAATTTTACAAAATATAAAATACATAATCTAACTCACTTGTGACTATGTAGAAGGTGTTCTATGAACTTCCATAAGTTTTGAATTAGATAATGTATTTTATATTTTGTAAAATTCCAGCCACAAGTTAAAGTCCATTTACCCTGTAATTTTTCCATGTGTATTTTATTGTTATTACTGGACTAAGAAAATTAGTCATAAAATAGAAACAGTAAATCATATTTATTTTTACACTTTACATTACATATTAATATAGTTCATAAATATCTGCAATTAAATTATAGGTGGTCAGTGAGTACAAGAGTAAAGTTTTCAGTATTTCAGAAGGATTTCTCAGTTGCCACTTTCCTGTTAAATCTAAGTACCAAACCATACAAATGAGGCATCTTCAAATGCTTGTTAGCAAAGATAATACACAAATGCATGCTTGTGTGTGTACACCACTGTAGTAAGCTATTGATAGTTACAATTGAAAGTTATTTAATATTTCAAATTTTACACAAATGTTAATTTTATTAATGTAAAATTAATTTCTACATTAGATCCTTCAATGAGTATCAAAATCTGTATGTACTTGTTATTAAGGTTAAGGCTTATTCACAAATAATTTGGCACTCTTTTGGATGCAATTACACAAGGAGGAAAGCAGCTAACTATTTTAGAAGTTTTTTATTGCTGTCAGTTTGTTAAAGATGCATTTCAGGCTGAGCTCCTCATCAGCTTAGCAGAACTTACAGACCAGAAATTAGAGTTTTAAAAATTACATTACCTACATTAGAGTTTTAAAAATAAAGCTAAAAAGTACTTTTTTTTAAGTTTCAATTTTGCTAGGTATTATTTTGAATTAAATTTAATCATGTTTAAATAAAATTGTTAAATTTGATTCAAAAATCATTGCATTAATTAATGTTAGTACAGCTGCCCCTTGATAATCCAACAAGTATGGGACCAAAGGGGTGTCGGATTACCAAAAGTGTCCGGATTACCGAAAGTGATTACATATTTGGCATTGTTTTGCTAGCAGTAGCCTACAATATTTCCTACTCCAACTGTTTGAACAGAACTGCTCACAGAAAACACATGAAATGTGTGTCATCATGTAAGAATTGGGTGGGGAGATTTACGTCGCGACATGCTTCTGTACAAGCAGACACGTAACAGGGACGGATACCTTGACAGGAGGTGCATCGGATTACAAAATGTCAGACTTTCAAGGGACAGCTGTATAAGACAGCTGTCTAACTGCTTAGTTTAGAACAAATTATTTTATATTGTCCAATAACTGCATTGCAATTTTACTAAACAGACACCAGACTTGCAAAAACTTAATAAAAAAAAAAGTAATATTTTGTTTTTAAAACTCTATTCTTAAAAATCCTACACAAAGACCTATATTATATTATTGTATGTGGACAGAGCTGACACTAGATTTTATGCTGCCCAGGGCAAGATATGCATTTGACACACCTTATCTCCTACATAAAATGAAAAATTTCATTTTGAAATGCCATACCAATTAGAAGTGCTATACCTTGCTCCGTCAATCAATATTCAACTTGTGCCATATAATATAAATAAAAATAAATAAAATATTAAAAAAATAATACACCCGAAAATTTTATATAGATTTATGAAAATTTTCCACCCTGGGCATAGGCCCAGTTTACTAATACAGTAGCACCAGCCCAGCATTTTGACCATTTTATGTCATTATCTATCAATACATTTGGAAAGATTTCTAAAAAAATAATATATGATTAATGAGAAACATGATTGGGATAAAAATGCTTACAGTTAGTTAGTTGTAAGATAATTATATTCTATTTGAAATATTATTTTGTTCATGTTCTCTTAAGCTTACAGGCAATGAATGTATTTGAAGTATATATATGGTCTGAAGAGAGGGATAATGTTGGAACATGTCACTTCTAGTTTAAAATATAATAAAAAGGAGTCTTAAAAGAGTTGTGAATTCTTTGGATATAACATAAAACTAAATAAAAAAATATATATGTTCATTATCATCTTTAATGTGAATTAAAATTTTATTTTTATAAAAATGTTATTAAATTCACCATTGGCTTTTGTGAAAGTTCAAAAACAATAGGCTTCCTGCCTATAAGTTTTGTGTTACTGATGGAGACCTCTTGTGGTAAAATAGTGAACTTTCTAGTTGCAAACAACAGAGTTATGACTGAGCTAACATGGCAAAATCAGTGAATTTCCTTCTGGAATAAAGAAACAAAATATTTGTAGCATAGTAGGATGTAGCAATTTTTACAGTAATACCACAGGAGTAGGTTTTTGGTTTTTTCCAAATGGAAAAAGACACAGAAGAAATGCATAGATTAATGCTGTACAGAGGCTTTACTTTTATTTGTCCATCTTCATTAATTATAAAAGCATTCCTAAGGTTTGATGAATATTTTATTTCCAATAAACAATAATGTTTGTCACTGTCTCTGATAATGTCATCTGGAGAACACTATAGCCATGACATTTCTGTACAATACAGTGGGTGATCGGTTAACAAACATAATCCATTCCAAGACTTTGTTTGTTATCCAAATTGTTCATTAACCGATTATCGATTTACTATAGGTTTTTATGGGAATTTGATTAATTCGTTCTGGAGACTCCAAAAAAATATATATATACTTTTTACTACGTTTATTTATATGTAATAGTAAAAATACATATATATGCAGTCTTGCATTTTTATTAGTCGTTTTTTTCTGTTTGTGGGGGTTAAAGAATCTGTCCAATGTCGATTACTTTTCTCTTTTCTTCAGGATTTTTCGGAAGTAATTAATAGTATTGTAACCGTAGAGATCACCAACCCCATTAACCTTATTCTGGTTTGGATGCCACTTGGATGATCGTTGTTCTGACATCCTCTCATTTCTTCAAAAGATCTTTAGTAGCAGACGTCGATATTGGGCCTCTTTCATCTTCCTCTTTTTCAAAAGAAAACACATCTCGCCAAGTTTCTTGGTATTCTTCATTTGAGAGTTCTTGGAGTTCTTCTGTCATCAGATCAGTTTCAGGTTCCATTATGAGCTCTAAAATGCTGTTTATTTCTCAGATGTGATTTTCATTACTCCATTAGCAGCTTGAGACTTCTTGATATAGCTTTCATAGCTAAGATTGTGCCTACTGTAGACCTGTTCAAGCCATACTGCCTAGCAACATCAGACATTTTGTGCCCACTTTCTACCTTGGCTATTATTTTTTACTTGGTTTCTACGGTGAGCACAGTTCTTGACACTCCTCTTTTTAGGCTCCATAATATTATCAGTTTCTTTTTTAAATAAAAATTTCAGAAAAGCACTTACAAAAATTCAGAGAACAGAAATCAACTAGCCCACAAAAAATTACTTAAATTCAAGGCCTGGATGAAATTTGAAATTTGGTATTAAAACGTTAACGTATATCCGATGGGACAGTTATCCTTTCACCTTTTGTAAATAAACCCCAACTCAAAACTTAACAAGTGCCCGTCGGAAGACTATAAAAAATTATTTGTCAGAAAGGTAGACAAAAAGCTTGTAATTCCACAAGGAGAGTTTCAAAATTCGGAGGAATACTATCTGATCGGTGTCGGGTTGAGCGTCGATGTTGACGTCTCCCGCGCTCCGAAAGGTTTCAAATTGTTACCTGAAGACAAAGGAAAATCAATTGGTATTCATTATTTTCCATCGCTACTTTTTATGTTTGTTCAGTAAAGTGTTCGTTATCCAAACATGTGTTTGTTGTCCGATCATAAAAATCTTTCGTGAAAGTGTTCATTATCCAATTTGTTCACTATCTGAACTGTTCATTAACCGATCACTCACTGTACATTCTTCATTGAGCAGATAATATCTTAAGAATTTTCTATCAGTATACTATATTTGGATCAGCTGGAGATATGTATTGATTTGTTTTCCTATCTTTCTCTTGTTTCAAAAATGTGGCTAAGCCTTGTTGCTTGTTTGTATTCCTTTTTTAAAGTTACAGATTTATTCCAAGCTTGTAGTAAATTTGTTCTTTGTTCTGTTTTTTTTTCTTC